TGTTGGCTTACCGTTTCGGCGCTTCGTTGCTGCGTCGACGCTGGCGGCTTATCTTTTCGGCGCTTCTCGTCTTCGGCTGTCGCTGAATTGATGCTGTTGGCTACCGTTTCGGCTCTTGGTGTATTCCTCTCTCTCTTTGGCTGCCGCTGCGTTGTTGTCGTTGGGTTTCGTTTCTTGGTGTATTCCTCCCCGTTGCTGTGTCGATGCCGTTGGTTTTCGGTTCTTGGTGTATTCCTCTTTCTCTCTTTTTGCGCCGTCGTCGTTGGGTTACTTTTCTAAAAGAAACCAGTGGCGTCTGCCGTGATCTCGGGTCCCTCCAATGGAAAAACGACGGCGACCTGGTGGGCGGAAAAATGTGGGTGGAGCGTACGCTCCCTCACAGTTTTGGCATAAGTGTCGATATCTACTAAACACAAATAATTGCATACGCCGATTTAACGCTAATCCTAATTATAATACAATAAATGGTGTAATATTGAAGTCCGATTTGCCGTGTGGCGAAATTTAAGTACATTTCAATTGGATTAAAGAAATTAGAGCTGTTGAAACGTCGAAACATTGTCATTGATGTTTGGATGTACTTTGCAGACATCGATGATTTTCCTAATTATTAGGTGTTTCTTTTGGCAGAACTTTTGAAATGTGTTGCTGACACGAAAGTAATTTAGACTCTTATACTGGAGCTTGGAACTTTTCGCACATATTGCAAAGCAGTTCCAGATTTCTGTGGAAGAGACATTAGATTCGATCATATTAGATTTGTTAGAATGTTAGAAATGTTACAATGCTCTTTTGGAAAACTCGCAACTGCTGCATATCACTTGGCTGCACTTATTGCAGGATGCACTGCATTTTGTGCAGGTGAATTCCTCGCAGGTGCTGCAAGTAAGTTTGTCTGCATGGCAGCAGAGTGTTATAGCAGGAGCGTTGGATGGCGGTATCTGACTGTTAACCTTAGCCTTCTTTTTTATCTCATACTGTTTTGATTCCAATTGGAAGTAATTTCATTCGGAAATAACTCGGTTATTTCGTCTACAAGCTGGCGAGATTTTGACATGGTTAACTTTAGATTTTGTTCCGAATAAAACGCCGTTATAGCTTTTCTTATTATCTTCCTGTCTCTAGGCGTCAATGGCTCCTTTTTAACTTTTTTTAAAACTGATTTACACTTGGCTTTAAGGAGAATCCCGTAAACGTTTATTATCAGCTCCACCGTCCGCACTGACGACACGCTGGCTACGTCGTGCCTTGGGGTTACAATTCCACTCCATTCTCCTATTTCGGAGTCTGAGCCAGAGTCGTCTTTTGGTGGCGTTTTAGGTGTTGGAGGCATTGTTTTGATATGATGTTCTGGACTTATGGAGGGAGTTTGTGGAGGCGGACTATTAGGTGGCTTTGGTGGAAAATTTGGTGGCTTTGGTGGACTTTCGTGTTCGCTGGGTTCATTTGACGTTTCTTTCTTTCGTTTTGTATCTCCTCCTTCCTCTGTAATCCACTCCCAAATTGTGCATGTTACTTTCATCTTGGTGGCGCAAAGGTAAGCGAAGGAACAAGTTGATAGTGGGGTCACTTTACACGATAGCTGTAAGCTAAACACAAACACACCCACGCTTTCAAAAGAGGCCGCCAGCTATTCCTGCGATTTTGGATAAACAATTCAACTCTATTCACAAACTGCGAGAATACTTGCCTCCTTACCTGCTTTTCAATTGTGCCGTTAGCCTATCGAAGTGAGTGTTATTTAATAATTTGTTTAAAATCTAACTTGGGACGCCACCAATACTACATCATTGTCCCGTTAACGGCTGTTTCTGGACACATATGTGTCCGTCCCATTTGTGTTTTCTAGTGATCTCTGATGGTGAATATCTGTGCGCGGTAAAGCCGCAAAGCTTTTCCTCCCACGCTGTCGCTGGTGGCTAGCTCTTTCTCCGGCTCGCGCCCATCGTACTCGAAACGATGGCACTCGACGAAGACGTGATGGCGTCCTTCACCACCCATATAGCTTGGTATATAGGGCAGCATACATAAATTTACCGGATTTTCTTTTCAGATCCTGCCATTTTAATTCTTTTAAATCCGTTGTCACTATGTCTCACCTCACTGTAGCTTCAAACAAATTATGCATTCCTTCAACGAGGTAAAACTGTTGAACCATCCACTATTAGAGATTAAAAGAGCCATTTGGCATGTCGAGCGACCAGGGCACGACGAAAGGCTCAAACGTGGAAAAATATACCTACTATCAAACCTTTCGGTTTTTACTGGTCAGCCATTTGTACTCATCTTCGATGAGTACCACATCCCACTGCTCTCGACTGTATCTCCACCACGCTGGAAAGTGCTAGCAATAGCTGGCTTCAAAGTGGACGGAACTAGCTTCCGTTTCATTTACTTGCGTGTGGTGCCCATAGCTCAAGCATCGCCCACATCCTGAAGGGTATCCCCTCGGTGTACTCGGTCGAGAGTACTCCGGTTTTGGAGTATCCAGCTCGGAGACTCCCACGACTGTCGCCATAAATCGTTGCGGATTTCTGTGGAAGTCTTGGCGACCTTCCGTCGGCAGATTTTCCATCACATCAGCAACCATACCAACAATAACACTGCCACATAGCTCGAGGTCAGTGCTATCAAAGACTATACAATAGTATAGTCTTTGGTGCTATTAAATCGGTGTAACTTCGTGAATGATGTCACTGGGTAGCGACAGACACGCTCAACCAGTTTTTTAACTTCTTTCACCTCCTGTGCGATCCGCTCCTGCACATCTTTATGTACCGGTGGGTACACAAAGTTCTGCCAATTTGAAGTATTGAAATGACTGTTGTACAGAGGTCCCAGCACTCTGTCCATGAATCGATTGGATTTCGCCAGAATTCTCCGGATATGATTCACGTCCCAGAGCACTGGGAACTCCTGGGCAGCAGTCATGCAACCCTTCAAATTTGCGGTGCATCCGTCAGAGATGACGGATTTCTTTAAAAGCAGAAATAGGCCCATGAATAGGCCCCAAAGGATCTCGTTATGTAACTCATTACCAAAACAGTAGACTACAATACGTCTGCTATGACATGACTCCTGATTGGTTTTTGTCGTTTAGAATGCGGGATGAATCCAATGTGGGTGTCATCGGGTTGCTATCCACTGTCCTGGAGAATGCGCTGAAGTTGGCCGACGCACGTTCTCCAGCACCGTCTCCAGCTGCACAAAACAAATTTGAACCCTGCAACAATATGGCACCTGCACTTATATAGAACCCTTCCCTATCTAGCACATGCACGTATATTGAACCACCGCAACTATATAGCACCCACGCTCCAGGAAATGTGGCAGAACCGCACATCTTAGGCACAAGCACCAATATGGCAGTATAGCCCCAAAAAAAGGTACACGCAGCAACTATATGGCACCTGCACTTATATAGAACTCTTCCCTATCTACCACATGCATGTATATTGAACCACATTAACTATATGGAACCCACGCTCCAGGAATTGTGGCAGGATCGCATATTTTGGGCATAAGCAGCAATATGGCAATATAGCCCCAAAAAAAGTGGAACCCCGCAACTATATGGCACCTGCACTTATATAGAACCCTTCCCTATCCAGCTTTTGCACGTATATTGAACCACCTATATAGCACCCACGCTCCAGGGATTGTGACAGGATCGCATATTTTGGGCATCTTGAAGTCCATACGCTGCATAGCCGTAGGCCCCATTCCCCACGGCACACGCGATCTCGTCTTGTCGGTATTTCCATCGCACCAGACGCCAGAATCCTGAAGACGGCGGTGTCCAGATGCCGTTTTCAGACGAACAGCTGTTCCACCCCTACCCTCAGTCCGCGGTCTGTTCTTTTTCTTCCTTTTCCAATTGTTTTCCTATGAAATTCGTCTTTTGGGTAGGGCGGAGTAGTGGGCCAAAACTGCGCCAAAGGTCGCCGCTGGTCGTTTCGGCATCGCTGCAGACTCTGTGGCTCGACTTTAACTGTAAATGCGAAGAAGGTGGAAAGCACGGAATAGCCGTGGAACAGCGGCTGTTTTTGGGGAGTGCCCTGTGACATCAGGACTTACAGCATCCACTATAGGCATACGCACAAGGCACTTTTGTTCATACAACAGTAGCATAAACAAACGAGTATCATTCCAATTGCTCAATTCTTTATTCCGTCGAATATTCCCAGCTAAATAGAACATTTAGCCATGCCCACATATTTTTATACGATTGATGAATCAATTTTCTACTTAACTGGCTTATTTTTAATACTTGCTTTTTTTGGATTTTGCTTAAAAAAAGGTTTTAGCGAAAAAGGTCAACAAAAAAACTGTGGCAACGTAAGTGAGTATGAAATGTCACGTCAACCGGAGCTTGGGCTCAGCTATACCCTATTTCGTTGATATATATGAAGAAACTGGTTTTCCAAGCTGTTTTAAAACGTAATTAATATAGAAATTATCTCAGATTGTTTTGTTTTGGACATATTAATGCATATGATTAGGGTCTTGTAAATATATCTCGATCCCGATACCCATACTTGGTTTCTGTATGTAGACCAAAACCTTCAAAATATCGTTGAAATACCTTTAAAACAGAAACTGACTAGTTTTGGCCTTTATTGGTGCCTTAGATGACAAACATTCTCTCAGCTCTATAATATCCATTTCCCAGGGTATGCAAAATGTTGCTCAATCCGCGCCATGTTGGGGAACAGTGCTGCTCGATTTCACGGCACATGAGTCTGGCCCATACAAATCGAATGTTGCCAGCAACATAAGACGTAAGAAAACGTTGGGACATTGTTGAGGGGAAAAAGGACATTGTGACGAGGAAAAATCCCAGAGAAAATCCCAAAAAAGTCCCATGTAATTTTGACACTTAAAATATACCGGAAAATACCGAAAATAAAATAGTTATCGATACGTTAGTGCTACCGTTCTTTCAAACAAAAAAATACTGAAAGGGCTGGAACAACAAAACAAAAACAATAAAAAAATTACTAAAATCAGCCTCGAAATTGAATATTAAATGGACGTGTCTGCACTTTCGGAAGCAACTTTTAGTCCCGCAGACTGGATAAATGCCAACTACAAAAAGTATATAGAGGAGAATGGAAGCAAAGACGGCGACGCGACGTCTTTTATTCAGAGCTACGTGGCCAAGCTGCAGCTGTATGTTCAGCAGGTGAACTACGCCGTGGAGGAGTCCAGTCGGCAGGTGGTATCGAGCATGCCGCGCATTGCCAAGGAATCCACCACCTTGCACAGCGACGTGAGCCAGCTGCAGGAGAAGATGAGTGCCATGCGACAGGAGGTGGCCGCCGTGCAGAATGAGACGGGCGAATGCATGGCAACCTTGGAGCGGCTGAACACGTTGCAAACGAAGCTGCAGGCAGCCAAGGAGTCCCTGCAGGAGTCGGATGGTTGGGGCAACCTATTAGCCGAGCTGGAAGACGGATTCGAGCGCAACGATTTGAAGGTGCGTACAACAAAAGTAGCTGAGATGTAACTGCATTAAAAATGTTAATTTTCAGGGTGTTTGCGAGAAGCTCATAGCGCTGCAAAAGTCCCTGCACGCTCAGGAACAGCTGCCAGGCCATGCTGAGCGTCTCACTCAGGTCGAGGACTTCAAGAACCGCCTGGAAGCCCTGGCCTCGCCCAGCGTGGTTCAGTGCTTTGCGGAATCCAATTTGGAGCAGGCTCAGCACTATGTACAGATTTTCGCCAGCATTCAACGTTTGCCACAGCTCCAGCAATACTATCGTGCTGTCCAAAAGAATCTCTGGCAGCAGCAATGGAAGCAAACGCTGGAGCTGCAGGGGACGGAAACGCAGCCGCAGCAGCAGCAACAATTTCTCACACTCTACTACGATCAGCTCCTCGAACATTGCCAGCGGCAGGTCAAGTGGTGTTCGAATCTGTTCAGTGAAGAATCGACCCAGCCTTTCCTAGTCATCGCCGAGCTCTTGCCTGCCCTTCAGCCCACGCGGGATGCCCACATTTTGCAGCTGCTGAAGACTTCCAATGAGAGATTGGAGCTGCTGGGACTATTCTCGCAGGTCAACCACAGTTTCGTCCTGCATTTGAACTCTCTGCTGGAGCAGTCGCACATCACACTATCCGATGAGTTGCATCGGCAGCTGGGCGAGGCGGTGTTTGAATACTTTCACAAATTTATACAACAGTATCCGCGATTGGAGGAAACTCAGTTGTCGACCCAGGTGGATCGCTTGCTATCGAATCAGTCCACGCCCAGCGATGCAGTACGTCATCTGGAGGAGAGCACCCGCAAGCTATACGAGTGGCTGAAAGAGGCCTGCGAACGCTGCTCTGCCATTACCAGCGATTTGGCCCTGTGCAAGCTGATAACCCTTTTGAATGGAATCTTTAAGCGTCAGCTGGAGAACTTCGGGCGTATCCAGCGGCAGCTGGGCCTCAGCCTGGGCTCCAGCAGCTACGCAGCGCAGAGCGAAAATTGGTCATTGCTGCAGTACACGATGTCCCAATTGCAATGCCTCGCCGACTTTCAAGTGCAGCTTCATCAATTCGAGCACGATCTGCACGCACGCATGGCCACATTAGCTGCTAAGCTGACGAAACAGTCGAGTCGGGGGAATATTACTATATTCCAAACCTGCGACCACGCAGCACGCACCCAATTACTGAACGCCATTGCTGACTATCAGCAGAAGAAGGCGGAGGCCACCGAAAGCCTGGGCATTTTTCCGCAGATCTATGCCGCGTTGAAATTACAATTTAGCGAAACTCACGATATAACTCTCAACATATTGCTGCAGCCCATCGAGACGCACCTGGCGCACATTCGGCCAGCAGCGGAGACTCATCCCTCAACGGGCATCGACATGCCATCCTTTAGTTTTGCTCCCCAAGAAAGCATCACCCAAATTGGACAATATTTGTTGACCCTACCCCAGCATCTAGAGCCGTTGCTGCTCGCGCCCTCGGCTCTTCTGAAACAGGCCTTAGAGGTGTGCAACGTCAAGTACACACAGGCCATACCCTGTGCCGATGTCTTGCTCTCGCTGGTTGTTGAACAGTGCTGCATTTTGTATCAGGCACAGATACTGCAAATCAAGACTCTGCCGGCCTCGGCCGCCAAACAACTCAGTGTTGACATTGAGTATCTCTCGAATGTCCTGGAGGAACTTGGACTGTCCATCAACCTGCAATTGTCACAGATCCTCACATTGCTCAAAGCCGCACCAGATCAGTACTTGACCCTGAGCAGCGGCTGTGAGCCACGTCTGGTGACTGCCATTCGGCAAATGCGCAACATTATATCTACCCAGTAGCTCTCCAGCGAAAAAGCTTAAGCCCAAAATGTATTTATGTATATAAATAATGGAGTTCAGTCATACTATTGCAACTCTACCAGTTAAACGCACTTGCAGCAGACGTGCAGGCCTGCTTGCACTGTTAGATTAGTACATATTTATATACTAGTAATAATTGCTAAGAAACGGCTTGTTATAATATTTAATTAAGTGTTTAGCTTCCAGCATTGCACAGCACATCGCTTAGAATGACCAGAATAGAGAGTACCGGCCTTAGACGCGCACTTGACAAATTTATAGATGCATTACTTCAATTATATTCGGAGACTACACCTTAAGAGGAATACTTCTACCTTGAGGAGTCGCTTCATTGCTATTGGATTTCTCACCATAGTCCTGACCATGGCATTGCACTTGTACAGAGGATGGTCGGCGGAATCATGTCCTGAGGACAAAGGAAAAGGAGAACTGGGAACGGACCATCACTTGGATCTGTCTGGAAGGCGGCAGAAAATTCGGGAGATGATGCTGCATGCCTGGAGAAACTACCATCGATACGCATGGGGATCGAATGAGCTTTGTCCGATATCGCGGCGTGGCTGCCTGGGCGGCGTGTTTGTGAACCACAACTTGGGCGCCTCGGTTATCGAAGGTTTGGATACCTTGCACATAATGGGATTTGAGGACGAGTATAAGCAGGGGCGTGATTGGATCGAGTCAACATTTGAAATGGACAATGTAAACGCTCTGCTTTCTGTGTTTGAACTAACTGCCCGCCTGCTGGGTTCCATGCTTTCGCTCTACGCGTTGACCGGAGACCCCTTGTACAAAAATAAGGCATTGCAAATTGCCGATAAGATTTTGCCCGCTTTCGAAACACCCACTGGGATACCAAAGTCCATAGTAAACCCCAGATCAAAGAACGCCCAATCAAGCCACTTCAATGACATTTCGGAGTTCGGAGCACTGCATATGGAGTTTTCGTACCTCAGCGACATCACTGGCATCGCAGTCTACAGAGAGCGGGTCCAGGGAATCCGCAAGGTGTTGGGGAACATGACAAAACCGAATGGATTGTACCCAAACTTGATCAGCGTAAGAACGGGCAAATGGATAAGCGCGGACAGTGCGATAAGTAGATTTCACGACTCTTTGCTGAAGTCGTGGGTGCAGTCTGGAAAAATGGATGCAGAATCCAGGCAGATGTACACTGATGCCATCCTGGGCATCTTGCAGAATATCGTAACTGTAACTACCAATGGTGACATCTATGTGTCGGACTATATAAACGGCAGCCCAAGCCATCGAATGGATCATGTGTCATGTTTTTCCGGTGGGCACTTTGCCTATGGTGTGTCACAGCTGCTGATGAAGCACTGGGAAAAGTACGCAGAGGTTGGCATTGGCATCACAGAAACGTGCCACAAAAGCTACGAGCAAACACCCACCAAACTGGGGCCGGAGGTCATTGTCTTCCCATACAATGCACAGGATCAATCATCGCCACATCAGAAGAATCGCTTTATGCTCTATCCAGATGTCGTTGAGAGCTATTTTCTGCTTTGGCGACTGACGAATGACGAGAGGTATCGCAGTTTTGGCTGGGACATCGTACAGGCAATGGAAAAATATTGCCGGACGCCATTCGGATACACCGGAATAAGGAACGTATATGACATGCCCCCGGAATCGGACGATTTGCAGCCAAGTTGGTTCTTGGGGAAGACTCTCAAGTATTTGTTTCTGTTGTTCTCAGATGATGATGTGATTTCACTAGATGAATGGGTCCTAAACAGCGCAGGACATCCCTTGCCGATCAAAGGTGTAAACGCCTATCGTGAATCCGACTAAGATTGGAATCGAATATCTGATCCGTTTTTCGATGTAAGTAACATTGAGATGTTTCACAAGGCGGTTTTATTTTATTTTCAACACCTATAAAATAAGTACACCTATGAATATAAGTACTTTTCTTGCTTTAAATACACCAATGTAAATGCATACACCTATATAAAAGTCTTATAAAACAATAGATATTTATATGTGAGACAAAGATGAAACAAAATGGATTTCCGAGTATATGGGAGCACACATATTGAGCACACCTTAGCATAAGCACACCTGTGGTTAATTGCAGCCGTTTCTTGGACCCCTTTTCCGTTCCTAAATCATTCCCCTAAAGCTGACTATTGGCCAGATGATTGTCGATGACGACCTGAATGATCCTCATGCAGTGCCGCTGCCTGGCCACAGTGTTGTCGATCAGCTGCTCGATGAACTGGCTGGCTGGTATGGTGGTGTTTGGTGGGATGTCCTGCGTGCAGGAGATGTACTTGTTAAAGATCTCTGTGTTCAACGATGTGGCCAAGTATGTGTCGCCTTCGTCCTGCTGCTGCAGTTTGTTGAGCACCTGGGCGGCGGCCAATATGTGCTCCTTGGTCTTTTGATATGCTTTTAGTTCCTGCAGGCTGGCATAATCAGCGTTGTTCATTTGCACGGATCTTTCCCCATCTATATCCTTGATTACGCTCTTTGTCAGCTGCAGAATGTGGTACTTTCGCTCTGCCACAAAATTACCCAGCAAGTACCCTGCCGAAGGGACAAGAGGACTCGTTAGTGAAAGTGCTGCCTCCAGGGCAGCGTTCCCTGACGACTTACCTGTTATCAGCATGAAGAAGGCAATTGTCAGCACCAGAGAGGCACAGGTGCGCTTCGAGACATATTCACGGTATTCGCGCGAGCTGTTTGCCCGCACAGCCGTCTCGTAGCTGAGTACTTGATGCATTTTGCAAAGGTCCTTTTTTTGATGCTACTTATTCTGCTGGCACTTAAGGCTGGCACATTTCGTTTTGCTCGCCTAAGTAAGAGCACAAATACGAATCCAGAAGCAACACATTCCCATATTCTCACGCCAGGAGGGGCTTTCTCATAAGCGCTAGCATGACTTCATCGCATCGTTCCACCTTTAGTGGTAGTCAATGAACCCTCCCAGCAATCGTGGGTGTGAGGTGAGGGTATGGGTTGTGGGTTGAGACCAGGAAAACAAAGAAATGGGTAAACATGCACTCTGCTAACAGTTGCCAATCCTTAAATACGGCTCTCGTCGAGTGGCAAACTGAAACTAAACTTTCACTTAGTCCCCGCCTCTGTTTGGGTATTCCGTTTATTTAATGTAGATTCTCTATATACGAGTGCATCCACAGAGCAATCATTTAGCGTGCACTTTGTTGTTTCCACTGCAGAAAGGAATCCTGCTTGAAGGGGCGGATGAGTTATGCGAATGGTGCCCGCAACAGTTTTAATTTTATTATGAAATTCCCGTTCTATTGCTGTATCCGAGGTCGGTCTGCCTGCCTGGACGTCGAGTTATGTACGAGCTTGGCACTTCGCCTGACATCGGCTTTATTAGCTCTCGGGGCTCTGGTGAATTTCCTTCTCAGAGCTTTCGCCTGCTTTCGTGTTGAGTAGGGACTGTGTTGTGGGCGGCGTTGTGCTGTGTGGTCAAGTAGAAGCGAGTAAATTTAAAAAGTAGCGCATTACCGACAAACACTTAATAAGCGAGATGGGGTGCTAAGTTTCCACCCATCTTCTCCTTCGCTTACGGGCTTCCTCACAAGTCATATCGTGTTGCAAGCAGTTTACACACTTAAAGAGAATCTGCTACGCCTACACTCGTGCCCCTGTTGATTGTCTCTTCTCTGCTTCTCTACTTCTTCAAGGATATTATGTGCCATTCGATTAGAAATGCCTCTTGTCTCATATCAGGTTCCATTGCCACTTTGATGGGCCCCTCATGAAGGTGTTTAAGTCTGGGGGATGTGTTGGTTTAAATGCAAAATACATATATATGCCAAATGTCTCCTTTGCCCTAATCTTTCGCGCACTAACAAAGTACTCTTAATATATTCGTTAATTTATGAATGTAGATTAGATGTTGATTCGGGTATTTGCATCGATAATGAAATGAAGAATGATTAAAGCTATATAAAACTCAGACCACCATGAGAGCACTGCTAGTCCAACGAAATGACTGTGATCGCACTCTTACTGTTCGCTCTAGTGGCCTCGGCCGTGGCCCATGACGCTGTGCACCCCAAGGACCTGCAGGTGGAACACCGAAGTATTGAGGGTCGCATTACCAACGGCTATGAGGCAACTGAGGGAAAGGTCCCCTACATAGTGGGAATCAGCTTCAACAGCAACGGAAGGTGGTGGTGGTGTGGTGGCTCGATCATCAGCAACACTTGGGTTCTGACAGCTGCTCACTGCACGAGCGAGTAAGTCCGTCCCAAATTCAATATGGAAGGGCCATTGAAGAGTTTTTTCTATCCCCACACAGTGCTGATGAGGCTTCACTCTACTACGGAGCTACCAACTACGAGCAGGCGGCCTTCCGGCACACAGTCAGCAGCGCCGCTTTCATAAGATATCCTGAGTACCGCGGCCTTGATCATGACATATCCCTGATCAGGACACCTCATGTGGACTTTTATAACTTGGTGGACAAGGTTGAGCTTCCGAGTCTAGATGAGCGCTACAACTCATTCGACAGCTACTTGGCCTTGGCCTCTGGCTGGGGTGCCATTTACGACGGCAGCAATGTGGTGGAAGATCTGCGCTGCGTGGACGTGGAGGTCATCCCTCTATCGCAGTGCCAGGCCTACTACGGAACCGAAACTGCCTCCGAGAACACTATTTGCGTGGATACTCCCGATGGAAAGTCCACCTGCCAGGGCGACTCCGGCGGCCCTCTGGTCACTCATGACGGTGGAAAGCTGATCGGCGTCACTTCCTTCGTTTCAATTTACGGCTGCCAGTCAGGTGCTCCAGCTGGTTTTACTCGTGTCACCAAATACCTCGAGTGGATCAAGGAGGAGACGGGAGTATTCTATTGAAAGTTCAAGATGTTCGCCGTGTCGATATAAGAATAAACACTTTCTTCGAGTACCATGCAATTCGTTATATTTTTAAGGGGGAATAGTAGATCAAATACCATATAGCCCCAAAATATTATTTTTTAAATTCTAAAACCGAGAGAGAACTGCTTGACCATGCATAGGATTTATATTTTTAATGGCAAAGC